CTGGGGCCCCGCTCTGGCCCCTCGCCCGGCGAGCGCTGCGCTAGGCCTCCCGGGGACTTTGCCCCTGTAGTTGCTGCTCCTCTTCACGCAGCCTGGCCGCGGACCTCGCCCCCAACTCTACCCCTAGTCCACACTCGGCAGAGCCTCGTTCTTAAGTTTCTTGCACGGTTCCACAGGACCCTACATATTCACAAGCTCCTGCTGCATAAACACACCCCTTCCTGCCTCCACCCACAGAGACGTCCTCCAGCACACACAGACCTATATTGTGCGGTCTTCCCACACCTCTCCATTACTTCTCCGTTACCGGAATGTTAGAGGGACCCCGGGAACTCACCGAGCTCAACTTCCTTAACCTTTCCCTTGCTTTAAAGGTGGAAAAACTTGAAGTTCAGAAAGGTGAAATGATTTCCTAGATCAGAACCAAGAGCGGGACTCAGACCTCCTGTTGCCAGGGCCTTCGCTCTACCGACCCCTTCCTGCAATTCAGGGTCAGATTTGACTACCCTGAAACCGGTAGCTCCAGCCTTGGTTATCCAGCTAAAACTTTCCAGATCTATGCCCCAAGGGAAAATGTATCTGACCGTTGCCTTCCGTCTGTCTCAAGGTAGCTCCAGGAAATAGATCATAGCCGTCAGAAAACCTTTACAGAATACTGCAGAAAGAGGCAGTTTCATATAAGTTGAGAGAGTGGTCTGTGGAGCCAGACTGTCTAAATTCCAGTCCTATCTCCTCCATCTGCTAGCTATCTTGAGCAAGTCATTTGACTTCTCCCTGCCTGAGGTCCCTCATTTGTAAATTGAGGATACTGATAGTAACTATCTCAGAGATGTTGTGAGAATTAAATGAGTTAATAACGGTAGCTTTCAGGACAGCACTTGGCATATAATAAAGGCATCAAAGAAATCACATGGCTAGCCACTACGCTGGTTTCTTAATGTTCTATCCCTCTTCCCTGATGCCTCCCGCTATATATTGCAGCCAAATTATCCAGCCAGGCTCATCTTTAGAGGACTGACTTCAGGTTCCAACAGACAGTAAATGGAAGGGCAGAGAGCAGGGTAGCCATGTTGACTGGGGCATCCCCAAGTTGAGAGCAGCACAGCTGACTTCTAAGCCAAAGGGAACAGGATGTGTGGCACAGTGAGGACAGAGGCAGGGAGCTTCTGAGCTCTGCCTTTGTAAGATACTTGTGGTGTGGTGCTGGAAGAGGGGGAAAGATGGGATTCAGAGAATGAAGTCAGCCATGGGGCCAAACAGTAGAGTGGAGAGACAAAGACAACTACCAGACAGAATGTCAGACAGATGCTCTGCCAGTTCCTGACCTTTTAGCACCTACTCCATTCAATAAATCCCACAAATGATTTTGTGCAGCTCGTCCTCCCTGATAAGTTCCTTGAGAGTAAGCCCTGTGTTTTGTTGACCTTTATTCAGTCTTTAGCATCTAGCTCAGGGGTTTGGGAATAAGTGATAAACAAATGTTTGAATGGTTTTTTTTTTTAATGAAATTATATATGCGTATCGCTGAGCTGAGCCTTGTGAAGAGGGTCCTAATTTTAAGAAAACGAATCTTAGAGTTTCCACATCCAACCCCCTCACTTCTGAGTTAAAGGAAGCTATTTGCCCGGGGTTATATAGCAAGTTAGAAACAGAAGCCAAGTCTCTGCTTTCAGTCTGATGTTATTTCCATGACACCGCACTGAACTTACAATGCAATTGGAAGGAAAAACAAACCCCCTAAAAGTAATAGAACAAAATAAAGCAGTGTGTGGTTATGACCTGAATGCATGGTACAAATGGGACAAATGGTAGGAGTTGAGAGGACCGGAATCCCCAGGGGCTGGGCTCGCTCAGAAAATGCTCACTGCCAAGAATGAGCTTAAACTGGTCCTGAAGGATGGGTAGGATTGTGGACTGTGGAAAGGAGAGAGAATTCCTGGCAAGGGAAGTGGCTTCCCGCTGAGGCTGTGGTGGATATTTAAGGGTCAGTGAGGAAACCAGTCAGGTTAGAAGAGAGGTTTGAGTCGGATCATAGCAGGAAAAAATGTTAGAAAGCTAAGCTGAGGCCAAATTTGGGGAAATTTCAAATAGCAGGATGAGGAGTTTCTCCCTTAGTCTGTGGATAATGGGGAACGCCTGAAAATAGACGCTGAGCTAGGCACTGAACCAAGACAAAACACCAGGCAAATATCTGCCAACCTGGTCTGATTTGCATCTTTTGTAGACAGTTGCTTGCCATATATGTACATTTACTTAACTTACCCACACACGAAGGAAACTCTACCAACCAGATTGTCTATATTTATTTCATCTCCAAATACCCATGGTATCTGTGTGGGAGCAGAGGAAGGAGAGGAAGATTAACAGAGTCTGTGTGCCTGCTATAGACTGGGCACTTTCATCTGCGATACCTCATTTAATCTTCACCGTCTTGTGGGGAGTGGGCATTACTGCTCCAGTAACACCCAGAGACGGTAAGTAACTTTTCCACATCACAGAGCTAGGAAATGGTAGAACCAGATTTCAAACTCAGCTTTGCCGCCAAAGCCCTGCTCTCCAGTCCGGTCACAACTCTCTAATGAGAAGATACAGGCATTGTGTTCTCTCAGATTCCTTCCCAGGGAGGGTCAAGTGTGGAGATGACCCAGCTAGGCTCACGTTTCTTTCACATACCTGGTTTTCTGTTCTTGTCTTTAGGAAAGGAAATTCCCATTTTGTATCATTAGAGGCAGACAAAGCTGGGTTTGAATTCCATTTTCACCACTTACTAGCTGGCGGACAGAGGTGGATTTGCCCTGAAGCTAATGAACCTTGAGCTTCCGGACCTTCCACTTCCGTAGGCCCCTGGCAAGCCCTCTACCCAGTTTTGAATCCCTGATTGTGCATTACTGCCCTTAAAGAGGGCTCTAACAATTGTCTAAGCTTCAGGCCTCCCAAAAACCTGGATCTGCCCAGAGTGGATAACCTCTATCAAATTGCTTTCTAAGACTTAGTTTCTTCATGTAAATAAAATCATCTTAGACTCTAGTCTACCAGCTGAACATCCAATTGATACATAGTACTAGAGATGCTGATTTAACTTGACTGGTCTTACCTAGCCTTACACCTAAAACAAAGGTTCACAGAGACCCTAGGCCAAAAGAAATACCTAATGGGTCCATTTATCAAGTAGTTAGGTCTAAACAATTTAATTAGTGTTTATATCCTAACAAATTAGTTGTTTGCAAAACTAATACACATAAATTTTAAAAATCGATATTTTTGTTTTCTTTTTAAGTAACTACTTTCTAATGAATTTTTTTCCTCATGAAATTTGCGCACTTGTGGGGCACTGCACAGCTTCTCAAACCGCTAAACCACACTGCACACAACTACCCTCTCATCTTTTTCCCCATCAATTTTCTTTTTCTTTTTAAAAAAATTTTTTAATGTTTATCCTTTTTAAATCACTTCATACAAATTTTCTTATGCTATTCCCATCAAGGGCTCTTTTGTAGATCTTATTCAGAAATAAGACTGTAAAGTATTTAGACAAATTTATTCTTAATGTCAAATTTGTGTTTATTTATATGCCTGTGATATTTCAGCTTGGTAATATACTGTACCTTTTTAAAACATATGTAAATTTCTATAATCTTGACTTAACAGTAGGAAAAGACTAAGGTTAGTTTTACGATAGATAAAATTATTTTACTAGTACAGTAATAAGTGCCATTTATTTTCAGAATAATGTGGTTGATTACAGATGTTTATAAAACAATGGTTCCTTGGGCTTCTTAGACACTCATTGAGTAAATAATCTTTTCTTTTTTATCTATTAAATAAAGCCACACTCGTATTTAAAATCACATAATTTAGAATTTTTTTTTTACTTTTCCCCCAGCTTTAGTGAAGTATAATAGACAATTAGTTGCTCATATTTACCTTGTACAATTCAATGAGCTTTTTTTTTTTCAATTATAGTTGGCATACAATAATAAATTAGTTTCCGTCATATAGCATAGTGATGAGAGATCTATATAACTCACGAAATGGTCACCCCACTAAATCAGTTATCCCTCTTCCCCCTTACGTGCTGTATTTTTTACAACACCTTACATGCTGTATTTTTTACTACATTGTTGACTATTTTCCTTATGCTACACTTTATATTTCCATGACTAATTTTGAGGACTCTCTGAGCTTTCTGGGGTTGTATGTCTATTTCCTTCACCAGGTCAGGGAAGTTTTCCATCATTATTTCTTCAAATATATATTCAGCTTCTTATTCTCCTTCTTTAGGTACCCCTACGACGCAGATGTTGTTACCCTTAATTTTGTCCCAGAGGATCCTTAAATTATTATTATATTCTTGATTACTTTTTTCTTGACATTCTGGTTAGGTGTTCTCGGTTTCCTCATCCTCTATATTGGTGTTTTGATCCTCTTCTTCCTCCGTTCTGTTGATTCCCTCTAATATACTCTTCATCTCAGATGATGTATTCTTCATTTCTGACTGGTTCTCTTTTATAATTTCCATTTTTATGATTTTTATCTCTCTGTGAAAGTTCTTACTGAGTTCCTCTACACTCCCCTTAATTTCGTTGAACATCTTTATAACCAGTGTTTTGAACTGCACCTGTGAGATTGCTAGATTCATTTTTCCTTGATCTATGTTCTTTTCTTTCATATGGTTTCTGCTTCTTTGTCTCCCCATTTTGGCTCCCTTTATGTGTCTGTTTCTATGTACTAATCAAAGCTCCTAAGTCTCCTGGTCTTATTAGCGTGGCTTTGTGTAGTCGGTGTCCAGCGGCACAGTCCTGAGAGGGGTTCAGCTGCAGGCCAAGTTCAGTCCCCGACTGTGCCCCTCTGGGGCCACCTGTTAAGATTTAGTAAGCAATCCACAGATGCTGTGCTCATAGTTGCCACAAGAAGCCACACCAGAAACTGAGATCAGCTGCCACCAACGTGAATCTTGGCGCTGTTCAGCAAGTGGCACAGGACTCGATGAAGACACAGGGCTTAGTTGTTGGGCTTCTGTTCATTAAGACCCGTAGGCAACTCTGCTTGCTGTTTGCTCCATGTTTCCATCTCTCCATCAATTTTCTTTTTAACATAGCATCCACCAAAAGCCCAACTTCATAAAGACAGGACGTCATCAAAAAGAATGTACTGCAATCTAATGTTGAAACTGTGGGTTTCCTTTAACTAATACCTCATTAAGTATGTGACAGATATCGAGTATCACTGTGTTTCCTTCAAAAATTTAAAATATCTTGAAGTGCCTCTGTGAATTTCTACAGCACCCTTGCGTGCCTCAGCACTCAATGTGGGAACTGTGGGATTGAGGAACCTATTAGAGCAGAGGTCTTTAACCCCTTGGGCCACGGACCGGTACCAGTTCATGGCCTATTAGGAACCAGCCACATAGCAGGAGGTGAGCAGCAGGCTAGCAAGTGAAGCTTCATCTGTATTGCAGCCACTCCCCAGTGCTACCATCACTGCCTCAGCTCCACCTCAGATCATCAGGCATTAGATTCTCATAGGAACACTGGTCCATGGTGCCAAAAAGGTTGGGACTGTTGTGTTAGAGACTATTTCAGGAAGCAAGCAGAGGGCAGAAGAGTACTCCCTAGTGGAATGGAAGATAGGGAGCCACTTGTACCCCCATTCACAGTGTTATTACTTAGCTAGCCACAGGAAATTTTTCTGGTACTTCTTCTATCTCAGCTGTGGCTATTTACATTATATTTAACAAAGCAAGGAATAATGGTGGGTTATTTGGATGCCTGGGCTTCAGTTCCGGATCTGCCACAGGAGAAGCACAACATCTTTCCCATAACCTCCTCTTTCCAAAGTTTCTTCCAGCTTTAAAGATTTATAAAGCCACCCTCAAGCTTCACCCTAAGGAACAAAAGTTTTTAATGCACTTGATTTGAAGTTGGCTTCATAAGGCAATAAATATTTCTTCTATTATGGATATTCTACAAGCTAGCAAGCTGGGGAATATGCCATCTTTAAATCAAATAAAAATACATTTCACATCAGGCAAATTTCTGAAAAGAGGAAAGAAAGAATAACAACAAAAAGCTATATATGAGGGACTTCTGGGGTGATGGAAATGTTTCTGGATCTGAATGCAAGTAATTGTGTGTGTTCAGTTTGGGAAAATTCAACAAGCAGTACACTTTTGATATCTGCATCTGTGTGTATGTGTGTGTGTGTGTATTATACTTTTTAAAATGGGAGGAAGCAAATTGCAGAATCAAAACAACATATAAATTACATAAAAATATAACAGACAATATCTTAAGGAAAAAAAATCTGACAATAAATCATAAAGGTGTGAATATGCTACATGTTTGTGGTAATGTTTTAAAATCAATTTTAAATCATTTGAAAAACAAAGTAAAAGAAAGCTCTTGCCATCTCTAAGGCAGCTTTAAGACTTGGGCCAGGAGGAGACAGGCGTGTTTCTTTTGCCTGATATAGTAAGATTTTTTAAAAGTCCTCCCTTGTACCTATTCTTTTCCCTGTCATACTACCAAGAGTCAGATGTTTAGCCAATGAAGACCCATAAAAAAGACAGTTTATCAAGATATTTCGTAGAGTTAAAATAGGCGAAATCCACTTTGCTCAAGAATTCAGGATGGGCTAAGCAACCATTATGAGTACCCAAGAGACAGAGGCTGCTGCTCAGTCTGAGGGAGATTACCTGTTCTTATTACCTGCTCTTATCAGTGATGCTAGTTCAAGAGAACCTGGAGGTCAGGAAACAGCTAGTGGCCAGAGGCTTCAGGGAAGAGCACTGGATGCCTGTGCTCTAGCCTTAGTGACTCAACTGGCAGAGTGACCAGAGCACCGCCTCTGTAAAATGATGACTAGAAAATGGATAAGGTCCCTTTAACTTGAAAATTCAATCATTTTGTGACTTAGTGACACTGAGAGGCTAGATAATAATCTTAAGGAAACCCAAAAGAAGAATTAAACAACAAGCTCACCTGGGAAGAAGAGTTAAAGTGGTCTTCAAAAACATCACAAGGCCAGTGACCCCGATGGGAGACACAAGGCAAATACATGAATATATACTAGTCCCTCTTATCCACGGTTTCCTTTTCTGTGGTTTCAGTTACCCACGGTCAACCACGATCTGAAAATGTTAAATGAAAAATTCCAGAAATAAACAATTCATAAGTTTTAAATTGCCCACCATTCTGAGGAGTGTAATGAAAATACACTGTCCTGCTCCATCCCATCCAAGACAAAAATCTTCCCTTTGTATTATCCACCCTGTATATGCTACCTGCCCGACAGTAACTTAGTAACTGTCTCAGTTATCAGACCCACAGTCCAGGTATTGCAGTGCTTGTGTTCAAATAATCCTTATTTTACTGAATAATGGCCCCTAAGCCATTCGCATAACTTTTATTGCAGTACATTGCTATAGTTGTTTTATTTTATTAGTTATTATTGTTACTCTCTTACCTCGTCTAATTTATAAATTCAACTTTATCGTAGATAGGTATGTATGTATAGGAAAAAAACATAGTATATATAATGGTTGTTGCCATCTGTGGCTTCAGGCATCCACTGAGGGTCTTGGAACATATCTCCTGCAAATAATTTTATTGCAGTACATTGCTATAGTTGTTTTATTTTATTAGTTATTATTGTTACTCTCTTACCTCGTCTAATTTATAAATTCAACTTTATCGTAGATAGGTATGTATGTATAGGAAAAAAACATAGTATATATAATGGTTGTTGCCATCTGTGGCTTCAGGCATCCACTGAGGGTCTTGGAACATATCCCCTGTAGATATGGAGGGACTACTCTAATTTCATTCAAAGATAGGGCAAAACAGGACACTCAGGTGCAGCAGCAGGAGCAAGCTAAATTTAGGGGGCAAGAGAAGCAGGCCAGCTTAGTGGATAGAATATGGTAAAACCACATAACAAAATTGCAGCTAAATAAAAGTCAACAAACGAAAAGCAGTTGCTGCTGCTGTATGTTTTGATCCCCTCAGTGCTGTGCTATGATTGGACTGACATAGTCCACAGGGTTTAAAACCTAAGAAAAAGTGCAGATCTTACTCAGATTCACACTCTCCATGGGTACAAAGGGGGAAAAGAGAAAGAAAGCAACACATGCTACTTGTTACAGAGTATCAAGGCATCAGACCACTCTGAGCTTCAGTTTTCTCATCTGTAAAATGAGGGCCAAAATAGTACCTTTCTCGAAGGGTGGTTATGACCTAACACTCAGACCACGCAAGCTAGTGCTCAGTAGAGTGTCTGTTACTATTTATTCTTATAGACCAGTGCCCAAGCTCCTAGAAAGTCACTCTGATTCCCTGCAGCCACTCAGATTTAGGGATTAAATTCTTCCAGGACTGTGACTTGCCAGAGTCCTGAGTGGAGAGGCATTCTGTTTTCCAAGTGATGCTTTCCCCACTCCCTCTTGGCATTTTGCATTTACCTTTATTATAGCACTTGTCCATTTAAATTTACATTTTTGTGAGATGAGGCTGAGAGTGAGGTCATTTGAATGCAGAATATTGCTTCTTTTCTAATTAATTTTATTCTCTAAGGTCCCAGCTATAAGGGACCTTCAATTGAAATACATTTGACGTACAGTTTATGTCAAATGTAAGTTTAAAGTGTTGATTTGCTACATTTATAACATGATTGCTACATTTATAACATGATTGCCATTGTAACATAATCATGTCACAATGATTTCTTTTTTGAGGTATGAATAATTAAGATCTAGTATCTTAGCAAGATTGATGTCTATAATACACTATTGTCTATAACCACTATACTGAGGGTTAGATCTCCAGGACTTATTTATCTACTATTTGCAAGTTTGTACCCTTAAACAACATCTCTCCTATTCTCCATCACCACTGCCATTTTACTCGCGGTTATTACAAATTCAGCTTTTTAAAATGCCACATATCTGTGATAGCATGTAGTATATGTCTAAGTCTGACTTATCTCATAATGTCCTCAAGTTCCAGCTACGCTGTTGCAAATGGCAGAGTTTCCTTCTTTCTCGTGGTTGAATAAAATTTCATCATATACACACACACACACACACACACACACATACATATACATATTCACATCTTCTTTAGCCATTCATCTGTTGATGGGCACTTAGTTGTTTCCCTAAGAGATTATTAATAGAAGTAATTATTTAACACCAAAGCTTTGATGTCTTATGGGCCTGACCCCAAGAAGCCACTGCATCTATTGCAGACCGAGGCTCCTAAGAAAACACAGAGAGCCTCACCCGGCACTGGGGAAGGACAGGGTTCTAGAAGACAGACTTCTGGCTGATTCCTCTTCCATCTTAAAAACACTAACTAGTGGTATTGTTTAAAAAAGTTTACGGGAATAGAAAATGATAGGGAAACTGGGGGGAAAAAAAACTGACCAAAGTGCCCAGTAGTCTGAATGTCTGAGTCCAAAAGGCTCTGAATCTTTCTTTGTATTTTTAATGGAAAGAGGAAGGTAAAGGAGAGGTTTGGTGCCTAGGAGAGAGGGGATTACCTATTCAAGGCTGGATCATAGGTATAGTTAGATGGCCATTCATCCAGTGGGACTAGAAATATAATTTAGTAGAGTCTTTCCAGAGAACAATTTAATATGAAGAATCAAGAACTTTAACAATATTTGTATCCTTTAGACCTTTAAAAAATTTAAATGGTTACATTTTGGCCCAGCTATACAATGTTAGTATAGAACCATTAAAAGTATTTATAATTTGTATAAAGAAATGGGAAATGTTTAGACATTAAGTACAAAAAACAAGATACTAAATAATGTATAAAGAACTATCAGTTATATAAAGAAAAAACATACATAGCAACAGAAATAGTCCAGTACATAAAATGTTTGCTTGTGGGTACTGGACTTGTGGGTGCCTTTTTGTAGAATTATTTACACTTTTCTGTATTTGCCACAGTTTCTACAATAAGGACATGTTAACTTTGATTATATGGTGGCAGACAGAGGTTGAAACCGACCTCTCATCTCTTCTGTTTCCTTCCCAAAGCTGTGAATCAGGTTAATTTCCTCCAGACCCCTCTTCAAAGTTTTGAAGGCGAGGCTGGGCCTTGAGGCACGCAGCCGAGCTCCGAGCTGCTGGGAGGAGGATTCGAGAGGCCGAGGCGATGTGGGGAGGGCGGTGTCTGGCTCAGGCTGGTTTCTGCGCCTTCCTCTCCCCCACCGCGAGTGCAGATGAGGCGGTTCCGACTCGCCCGTCCCCCGAGCAGCCGTGCCCGGGACTCCCCCTTGCAGCGCAGCGGATTACTGGAAAGGCCGCGTTGGGGCTCGTCGGCCTCCTCCCTGCGCGCA